CAGATGGATTAAACCTCCTTTCAAAGTCCAACATATTGCTGTACCTAAGCAGATATCACATAGATATCTCCTCTCTAGAAAAAGACACGGACACAAACACAGACACACAGAGACACACACAAGATTGTGAAAATTTACAAAATGGGACCTAGGCCAACTCTTGTATTAACAATCCTCAGTGACCTAGAGGGACATTGAAAAAAATAATGTATTTCTGACAATGAAAATACAGCATTTTTAGACCAACAGTGGTGCATATACTCTGTGATCTTTTCAAAGACAGTGCAAGTGGAACCACATTCTGGATCATTTTATACAGTGCTGATCTTGAACATGGTAGTCACATGTTCTTAGATGTCTTGATCCACTTGGCCTTTGGGTGTTGAGTTGACACTTATACATGAATGAAATGCCATTTGATGGATCAATTTGAAATCCATAAGATTGTATAAAAATGTCAGATCAGGAATTTTAAGAATTTTAGATGTTTTAATTTCATTAAGCACATCTACAAAGTATTCTGGGACTTTGACAGAGATGAGTATAGCTGGTAATGGACAAGACTATAGGAGAGTGGATATCTTGATTTGCTTTTGCAGGAGTAGAGAGAATGTGGTAGTGAGCCGTTTCAAACCAGCAGTGACCAAGGCAGGGCAGCAAACTCAGGGAACTAAATAAACATTGGTCTTCTTAGAGGCTGAATTGTATCACCTTCACCAAATTCATATGTTGATGCACTTAACCTCTTGGACCTTAGAATGTGATTTTATTTGAAGAAAAAGCCATTGAAGAGATTATTAAGTTAAAATAAAGTCATTAGATGGGCCTTAATTCAGTCTCACAAAGGGCCATGTAAGTACACAGCAAGAAGGCAGCCTTCTGTAAGCTGAAGAAAGAGGCCTCAGGAGGAAGTCAGATCTGCTGGCACCTTGATCTTGGACTTTTAATTTCTAATACCATAAGAAAATAAACTTTTGTTTATAAATCCATTCAACCCATGGTATTTTGTTAAGACAAGCCTAGCACACTAATATAATATGCTTCCTAGAATCTGAAGCCTTTTTCAGTATTTGGGGAATTTTCCACTGATGTGTGTTTATGGAAGGCAGAGACTCTAGCAGCAGCAGCAGCAGCAGAAGCAAATGTGTTAAGTTGGAGTTCCAGGTTCAACAGCACTGAGAGTTCTAATGAGGCTGGCTCCTATGGGTAATATCTACTGGTAGAAACTGCAGTAGTGTCATGAGCTAGGTTTTAGTTACTTTTTCACCCTTGTGACAAAATGCCTCATGGAAACAGCTTAAAGGAGGAAAGATTTATTTTGGCTCATGGTTTCAGAGGTGTCAGTTCATCAGAGTGGGGAAGTTCATATCATGGTGAACCAGGAGGCAGATAAAGGAAAATGCTTTTTTCCTTTCCCCCCTTTATACCCTCTAGGCCCCCAATCCTTGGCATAGTGTCACCCATGTTTATGATGGGTTTCCTCCTTTGCTTAATCCTTTCTGGAAACACCCTAAAAAATATACTTAGCAGTGTTTCTCAATCTCCCAGGTGATTCCAAATGAAACCAAGTTGACAACGAAAACCAGTGAATACAGGCTAGTTCTGTAGTGTGATGGTCATTTTCTTGCATGAACCTGATCTTGGTTCCTTAGCTTTCATAGGGACTTTGTGATCTACCGAGAATCTTTAAACTAATTCCTTATCTCCCTAGTGATGACTTCTGGCTCTGATTTGCTATGCTGCAGGTCTATATCTACATCTTGAAAGTAACTATATTACAAACATAAGCCAAGGCATTCAGAGTAGGATGGATGATGGACTCAGGGTTTGCAGTATTTAAGTTATTTTGAGTAGTGCTGTAACTATCAGAGATGCTAGCTAGGGCAAAAACTAAGGTTGAGATTGTAAAAGTTTCTTTTGGCTTCCCACCTTCCTTTTGTCCTCCTCTTTTGTTCTTCCTCCTTGGTTAATGCTTTGGCTAAGACAGACATATTATTTGACTTTACATGAGACCCTTGGGACTAAGACAGCTATGATCTCTGTTCAGTGTGGGGTCTGTTGGGGATGAAAGCTGGTTTAAGGTGGGTCTCTTGACCCATTCTAACCTGTCTTACACTCACCTGTAAAGACTAGAAGATATAATAATTCCACATTATTTCTCTGTAAATTGATTTTCCCATTACTTAGAAATGAAGGGCCAGTTTGGGACACAATTAACACTCTCTATATAATGTGTAACAAGAATATCAAGAGTAGCAAATGGGCAAATAGCTTTCAGTGATAAATGGAGAAGTAGGCTATGAAGTGGGGGACACTGATGTCATAAAGCTAAGTCTACACAACAAATACACTACTTCTATCTAGAGGGTATTTAACAGAGGAACACAAACAGAAGTCTATAATGCCCTTTTGATTATCCTTTACTTCACATTGTTTATTATTTATTATTTATTATTTTATTTTATGTGTGTGAGTGTATTGCCTGCATGTATGTGAGTGCACCCATGTTGTGCAATGCCATGGAGGCCAGAAGAGGGCTTTGGATTCCCCTGGAACTGGAGTTATAGATGGTTTGTAGCCACCATGTGGGTGCTGGGAATCAAACCCGGGTCCTCTGCAAGAGCAGTCAGTGCCCTTAACCTCTGAGCCATCTCTCCAGCCCCACTTCACATTGTAAAATACATGTCCTCATCAAAAATTTTTTGTGTGTCTGTGGTGCTGGGGATTGAACCTAGGGCTTCCTACATGCTAGGCAAGCATTCCTACCACTAGCCTATGTGCCCAAACCTATTGTTACTTTTATTTCTTATTTTGAGACAGGAACTAAGTAAGCTGTCCAAGCTGGCCTTGAACTTACTCTATAGCCCAGTAGGTCTTGACTTTGTGATCCTCTCACCTTAACCTCTGGAGCTGTTGGGATTAAAAGTTCATGCTACTAAGCTTGGCAATAAATTTTTATTATTTGTATTTGAAGGCTACTTTGCAGACTTATGGAAATAAAGAGGTTTATACATTCCCCAAACAACTCCTTGGTGTTACCATGTGGTGTTTCTAAGCCAAATTACAGTGATGCTTAAAAAAGAAAGAGTTTCTTGACATTAAGCCCAAGAATGAACCTGAAGTGTGAAGCACACATTCAGATGTCTCTTGCAGTTAGGTTCCCTAGAAAGGGCTTTGCTCATTCTTTTTTTAAAAAATATTTATTTAGCTGGGCATGGTGGTGCACGCCTTTAATCCCAGCATTTGGGAGACAGAGGCAGGCGGATCTCTGTGAGTTCAAGGCCGGCCTGGTCTACATAGTGAGTTCCAGGACAGCTGGGGCCACAGGGAGACCCTGTCTCAAAAAAGACAAAAAAAATTATTTAATAACCACATGATTAGAAGAAGCATTTAATTACAGCATTAACATAATTCAATAACAATTTCCAGACCAAAGATGCATCTCTTTCAAAATTGGCTGTAAATTTTTAGGTTTACTGTTGAATTAATACAGTCATACAATATTGAACTCAGTATAAACCCTATAAGATATAAAATTGAATGAGGTTTTAACCTTTAAAAAAGATCTCCATTTCATTTTAAAAATACTGTTTCATATAGAAAAACTTGTTTTTAATGCTACTAACAGTTGTTTGTACATGCATCTCTAATCACTATGTATCTGATTATTACTAGTCACAGTCAGTTATACTCGGATCCTTGGCACCTGAGTATCAATATAAAGTCATTAGGTAGATTTCAATGGTAATGTTTTTGACCTCTATTAATTCACATAAAGAAAATTTTTTATGCTTTTTCCTCAAATATGATTCATTTTTTATTTGTTCATTTTATTGTGTGTCTTTCATACAGAACATCCCAAACACTCTTATTGATCTATCTACCCATATCCCAAATGGAGGGTCAACACAGAGGAAACATTTCCTCCATGCTTCCAAATGAAACCAGCCATGGTCAAGTAGGACCTTTAACTTGTCTTCACATAGATGGAACTGGTAAAAGAAAGGAGCCAGGGGCTCCTCCCAAGCCCATGTGACCCCTGAGGAACAGATCCTCAAATGGCCTTAAGAGTAAAAATAAATTGGTTTATCTGGGCTTTACTCATTCTTTATTGAAACAGTGTCTCCAGCATGACATGGGGAAGTAGTAATTGGGACACACCCTTAATTTATCAGAGAATCTTGCCCTTTGATCCCTGGACCTATAATATCACACACACAACAACAAACAGATTTCTCTCATTGTTTGCAATGAGAAAATCATGCTGTTTTCAGTGTATTGGTATATAAGGCATGATGTGTAAATGCATACATTTATTCACTATCTTGGGTGGCTAGTGAGGAGGGGGTCCTGAGGGATTAAGGTCTTATGCCCAGGTCACAAGAAAGGCACATGGCTCAGTGACCTTGTTTACATTATAAACAGTAACTTTTGGGTCCCAAGGTTAGGTAGAAGTCTTTAGTCCAGATTAGGTACATACTGGAAAAATCATTCCTACACTACCACTCCCGGGCAGTTTCCCATTCTTACCTCAGAAGGGATTTATGCCATTCCTCATTCACTTGCTTAGGGTCCTACTTTCAGTTGCCTAGAAACGTCGTTGCACAAGATTTTTGTGGTTTCATCTTTTGGGCCTGGACCCTCACTCTTAGCTGATATGCATGTACATATGTATGTATGTATGTATGTATCTATGTATCTATGTATGTATGAATGTAACTATGCACATATTTTTTTAAGACATTCTCCTCTTACATCACAGGCAGGCATTGAATTTGTGATTATACTGCCTCTCACCTCTACAGTGCTCAGATTACAGGTATGCCCCATGCCCAATAAATGATCTTGTTAAAATGTGACTTCAGAATTGCCTGACTTTGGGTACAGAAAACTCTCCTCTGCATGCATTGTCAGTTGTTCCTCATGACTCTATTATATACAGTGGAATATAGGCACAACAGTGGAGATGGTCCTTTAGCAATGACAACACAACCAAAGGATAATTCTCAGGTCTTTATTTTTTTCCGTTTTGATAACTCAATTACACTACTTGGCTGGAAAAGTAAAGAAAAAAAATAGAATGGGAAACATGGGAAACAAATTGAATTTGAAGTACAAGGCTTTCAAGCATTCCTCAGGGTGAAAGAGAACATTTTACTTAAAATATATGCAATTCCTTGTTGAATTGCTGGTTAAGATTTTTATTTAACTTTTCATTGGGGGGAAAAAGGTTAGTAGAGCAAAGGTCTCTATGGCAATCTGGCAGCCACACCTCTTGTAACCTATAAAATCATTAAGTTGAAAGGTGCAAGTAGGTCCAAGAAGAGCTTTATGGGAACTGGCTGACCAATGCTTACATAACTGGGGTAAGTGGAGGTCACAGCCCACTCTTCCAGGAGGACGCAAGCAGGATTGTCACAGGCCCAAGGCTTCAGCATACTACTCTATTGTCAGGAGGACCTTCACTTCAGTGTTCTCAGAATGGAAGGTCAGTGGGATATCCTATGGAGTAGAAGGACAAAACCTGAGGAAACAGAAAGTAAGATTTGGGTTAGAAAACTCTTGTGCTACCCAGACTAGGTAACCCCTGCTGCTCTGCTACCTGGCAAGAATGTATAGGCCTTTTTGTTGGGAAAGGGGGAATTCATTCTTATTTTTCTAAAGCAAGCTACACTATGGGAGTAAAGTGACATAGAGAAAACACACACACACACACACATACACACACACACACACGCACACACACACAAACCAAATGATGACAGGTACAAAAGTCTTTGGCTTGTGTTATGGTCTGAATGCGGAATGTCCCCATAGACATGTGTGTTTGATCATTTGGTCTCCAGCTGGTGGTGCTGTTTTGGGAGGTTTTGGGACCTATGGGGCAGGAGACACCGGGAGTGGAGCTGATCACTAAGGGTGGGCCTTTGAGGGTTACTGCATAGCCCACTTCTGCTCAGAGTTCTCTGCTTCTTGATCTACCAAGATGTGAACAATCTATGTCAAAAGTTCCTGATGCCATGGAGCCACTCTAGCCGCATGCCTTCCTGGCCATGATGGGCTGATATCCTCTGATGCTGTGGTCCAAACCAAACCTTTACTCTCTTAAGTTGTTTCTGTCGGGTATCTGGCATAGTAACGAGAAAGGTGATTAATAGAGCTTAGGGAGTTGACAATTTACCCAGGTTGAGGATAAACCTCTGTGTTCAAAAATCACATTCTTTCAGGTTCTCATTGTCTCCATCCCATAACAACATTTAGGTGCCTACTTGTCACTTTTGATCACATTTGTCAGAGAGAGGTACGAGTGGAGGATCAAAGCACATAGAACTTCAGGGGACTGGTGGGGAGAGAGGTCAGTTGGGGACAGCAACCAGAGCTGCAACACTCATCCACTAGCTCTGCTACTAACATCCAGGGTCATTCTAGCTTGCTGAGTGACCTTCAGTGCTCCATGAGTCACAGATTCAGCTGAGTCACAGGCAGTAAGAGAGGCTGTTTCCTGCTCATGGGACTACTTACTCATCTGCTGCCCACATTCTTCTGAGTTAATTGAGGAAGGAGTTGAACCTTCGTTTATTATTATTGTTATTATTATTATGGCTTTCCATGGATTCAGAGTCATAGATTTGCCATTTACATCTGCAGATTGCTTCTCCTGTCTGGCTTAATTTCTTCATCTAAAATTGAGATAAAATTGTGCTTCATAGCATATCACAAAAGTACTGTGGCATTTAAATGGGATAAGTCATATAGAGGTTTTCTGCAGGCTGAAAGAGGGCTTAGTTCACAAAGTGCTTGGAGTGTAAGTATGAAACCCTGAGTTCAGATCCCCAGCACACACATAAATGTTGAGCTGGCATGGTGATCCACTTAGAATCCCAGTGCCCAGGAGGCAGAAACAGGGGCTTCCTAGAGTGAACTGGCTAGCTACACTAGCTGATTCATTGAGTTCTGGATTCAAGTGAAAGATCCTGCCTCATATAATATAGAGTTCAACTGAGGAAGACACCCAGCATCAACCTTTGGCTGCTACGTGCACAAGCACATGGACATTCATGCATACTCAAACATATATGTGTATCCACATACATGTGAACATACATATACACACCACACACATATACACATGAAAAAAAGAGAATTTGATTCTCTGTCACATAGTAAAGACTCAAAGAATATTGAAAAATGTAATTAGATGACATCTCAACATCTGGGAATCACTGCTATATATAGAAATCAGTAGAAAGTTATCCTCCACTATATAAATTACTAAAGTAGACTTTTGGTTTTCAGAATCCATTTATTAGGAGTTTGATCAGTAAGGATCACTACTCCAGAATCTCATCACTATAGAAGAAGAGGCAATGATCTGATCTAATTTCTGAATTCTGAAAGATAAGGACCAAGCAGTAAGCACATGTAGAAGCACACGCAGTGCACAGGCTCTGCATGAGGCCGTGGATAGGCTCTTTAATCACCCTTGTCACTCCTGGGTAGGACTGGAGGAATGCATGTGCTACCTTCACATTGCTAGGCTTCTGCTAGGGTCTGGAGGGATTTCAGGCTTCTCTGTGTTACTGCAGATGGAATGGTTTGTCCAGCTCATACAAAAAGATGCTATTGCTTGTCACTGTCAGTAGAACTTGTCCTTTCACCACCTGAGGGTGTCCTGGGTGCTCTGCACACTTGACTTTGTAGCTCTCAAATTGAAGACTATTTTGCTAGTTTCTTTCTCTGAAAATAGCACATTTATCATGATTTCTTTTTTATTTATTATTTTTTAATTTTTATGTGTATGAGTGTGTTGCCTGCATGTATGTAAGTGCACCCGTGTTGTGAAATGCTGGTGGAGGGCATTGGATCTCTTGGAACTGGAGTTACGGACAGGTGTTAGCCGCCACGTGGGTGCTAGGAATCAAACCCAGGTCCTCTGCAAGGGTAGTCACTGCCCCCAAGAACTGAGCCATCTCTCTAACCCCTCATCATGATTTCTTTATTGCTTTATGTTTATTTGTTTTCTCCAAAGAAAGCAAAATCTGTAAATGAGCTTCTCTGAAGTGCTACAAAATTTCCCACAATAGATTCAGAGAATCGCTTTCAGGACAGAGTGTGCTTTTAATATGTCTGGAAATTGATAAGGACCAATTTGCCACACAGGTTTTCTATCCCAGATAGTCATAGGAAAGATCCGCTCATAGGCTCCAGAGGCACCTTTCCCTCACCACACTCCCCAGAACCAAAGCTTTGGTAATGGTATATATGTACAAAGAAAAGGGCAAGATCAATGTGAATGTTTAATTGTTGTGGACACAGTCATCAAAGAAGCACTGTGTGGGTGTAGAGAGTAGAGGCCTGTAAACACTGTGCATGAGTTCAGCAGGCTTCGTGGAGCTCACTGATGACTACTCATAGCTGTGCCCATCTTTTCCAACAGGTTACTGCAGAACTCCTCTGTGCTCCACCCCCAAAACAGACTACAGATGTGGAGAAAAGTGTGCTGCACTGTAGGGGAGGTGTCTGCATGTCCTATAGCCTCTGAGTTTTGTGAAATTCAATAACTTGGAACACAGCTTAGTTTTCTAATTTGGAGATAATAGGAGGCAGAGTGGACTTCTCTGTAATAGGGAAGCTATGGAATGGCCTTGGGATGGTATTTAAATTTGGAAGGGCTCTTAGAAATGCCCCAGCTCAATGTCTTCATTTTGCACAAAGGAATAAACTGGGGTTCAGAGAGATTTTCTTACTTATCTAAGGCCATTATTTCTATGTATTGCCCAAAGCAGAACGAGAATCTAAGAATCCTGATACCCAGTTCAATGCTTCCTCAAGGATAGCATGCTGCTTTCCACTGCTGAATGACATCCGTTAATCTTAAATAGTAACAGCAAATATTTAATGATCCCTCTTTATGTACTAAGCAATGAAACATTACCATATCTAGTCTACCACATAATGCTAAGAGGTAGAGAATTTTATTTTCTCCACTTACACATGAAGAGATTGAGGCTTAGTGAGGTCAAATAACTGAATAAAGGATACATAATGTACCATACAACTATTTTTTTATTTAATTCACCTAACTAATTCAATTCAAGGAGAAGAATGAGACTAAGGGAGATATTTATATAGAGCAGACCGTATAAAGCAGAATGTCAGAATGTACATTTGCTTATTTTTGTCCTGACAAGATAATTGCATTAGGCCTTACAAATCTATTTCTGGGAGATTCTTCATTGATATTCACCACTATGTTTAAGAATGGGAACAAATGTGTACAGGTTCAAATTAGAAGTGGCTTGGTAGAGACTGGACATTAAAATATGAGTAGACTAAAAAAGTTGGTCTCATAGAAGTTGAGGGTAGGGTGGTGATTACCTGAAGTCAGAGAAAACAGGGTGAGGAAAGGTTGACCATTAACTTATAGGTAGATGGAAGTTATAATTCTGATGTAGTTGTTGCAAGGTAGAGTGACTATGGATAACAGTAACATACCATAAAAACGTGCCATATATTTTAAAGATATAGAAGAAAGTAGTTTGAAAGTATTCACCACAAAGAAATAATAAATGTTTGAGGAGAGAAACATGTTTAACCCAAGCTAAAGATTATGAAATATATATCTGTATCAAACAGTACATGGTATCCTGTCAATATGTAATAAAATCTGAGATAAATAAATCTAAATCTAACTGGTCCACATCTGCTACATGTGTAGTAGAATATAAATGTATATATAACATAAATCCACACATCTACAGTCAATTTATTTTCAACAAATGTGCTAAGAACACACATTGGAGAAAGGATGATCTTTTCAGTAAATGGTGTTGGAAAAATTGGATATCTGCATAAAGAAGAATGAAGCTATACTCTCTTATTATCTGTCACCAGTCACTAAGATCAGTACAAAATGGAATAAAGAGTTAATGTAAGACATAAAAATACTAGAAGAAAATACAGTGGGCATGCTTTAAGACAGTGGAGTAGGCAGAGACTTTTTTGGACAAGCCCTCCAAAAAGCACAGGAACAAAAATAGACATGTAGAATTACACAGAACAACAACAACAACAACACCAACAACAACAAAACTTCTACATAGTGGAGAAAATGACAGAGTAAAGAGAATACTTAATGTTGTGTGATAAAATATGTGCAAGCTATACATCTGACAAAGGGTTGGCATGCAGAATATATAAGGGAGTCTAGAAATGTAATAGAACAAAACCAAATATCCTGATTAAAAATTGGCAATAGACATTTCTCAAAAGAAGACACACTAATGGGCAAGTAGTTCATGAGTGCATGCTCAGCATCATTAATCATGAAAAAAAGTGTAAATCCAAATCACAAAGAGAGATCACCTCACTCTAGTCAGAAAGGTTATTAGCACAAAGACAGAAGACAAATTTTAGTGAGGATGTGGAGCAAAGGGAACCCTTATACACTGTTGGTGGAAATTTAAACTACTACATACATTATAGACACCAGAACAGAGGTTCCACAAAATTAAGACAATCATA